CCCCCCACCCCCCAATAGAGGGGCGTATCTGGGCCCCTGCAGTGCACTGCTCTCCGCCTGCCCCCAACTTACCAGACATTAAAGTCAACCAGCCAAAGACAGCTCGTATCAACCTTGGTAACAGAAGCACGACAAGCAGGGGAGACACAGCCTCTTCTGCATTCCCTGGGGGTCCAAGGGGCCCCTTGGGCCCCCCTAAATCTGGGACGGCAGGGAGGGGAGGCGCCTCAGTACCCAGAAGGACGGCGATGTGCTCGAATACAACTCTGCAACAAACACACTCTCAAGGACTCCCTTAATAATCTCCTAGAGGACGCCAAACCCTAAACCCTAAACCCTATTCTTGAAATAGCGAAGAGGGAAGCTCTAAATATCGTGGCGCCCCACACTCAAAACACTAAACCTCCTGAATCCGAGCAGACCATTCCAGGACCAAACCCTAAACCCCAAACACTAAACCCCAATCCTTAGGAGCAAGACGTACCCGTATAACTCCAGGGCACATTGCGCGCTGCCGAGCCAAACCCTCAGGCGGAATACATCTGTTAGGTGCGACCCCCCTTCTCCTTGTTTGGTGGGTGTGGGGCCCCCCAGCGCCTCTCTCGGGGTCCCAAGGCGGTTGGGGTGGAGGCATGGAGAACCCAGTGCCTTTACAAGGTCCCTCAGGGGGCCCCACGATGTTCGCAATACCTGCAACAGCAGACCAAACGCACAAACCCGAGCTCTCCAACATGCAGTCCCCGCAAGAAGTTCAGGGTTTAGGGTTAAGGGACCTTGTTGGCCTAGGGTTAAGGGTTTACGAAGGGTCTTACCTTAGATACGACGAAGGAGCTGCTGTATGCAGAAGAAAGATGCAGCAAGGACAGGAAGAGAGACAATGATTGCCGCAGGAGACCTCTTTGCACTCCCAACACTCTCATACACAAATGCTCTTCCTGCTGCTGCTGCAGCTGCTGCAGCAGCAGCTTCTCTCTGTGTGCCCCTATAAAAAGGCCCAAGGGGAGAGGCAGCAGCTCATTCCAGGGGGGCTCCTGCGGGCACTGGCGCAGCAGCAGGTGTAGGGACTCGGCAGGCCTTTGAAAGGGCCCCCACTGCAGCAGAAGTCTAACAAGGGCAGTGCAGTAGCCATCGATGGCCAGCTGCAGCAGATTTGGAGCAGGTAGGTGCAGCAGCATCTGCTGCTGCTGTTGCTGCATTCGTGAGCGTTTTCTGTTTTGTGCACTCCGCTGAGCCTCTGCTGCTGCTGCTGCTGCTGTTTCTGTTGCTGCAGTTGATTTCCCCCGGCAAACTTTCTCCTCAAGTCCCAGAGCCTCTCGGCCACCACGGACACAGCGGAGAATACCGATTATCTGCAGCGCAGCAGCAGTGGACACAAGACTCCACCCTGCTGGGCTGGGGGCCCCTAAGTGCCCCTGAAGGAGGCGATCGAAGGTACCCTTCGATGCTGCTGCTGCTGCTCCTACTGCTCCTGCTGCTCCTGTAGCTGCTGTTGCTGTAGAACTACGTCCGGGGCCAGAATGCAGGGGGACACCGCCTCTGCTGCGGCCGCGGGTCGGCGGGGCACGACCTCTTTGTGTTTTTCGAGATTTGCTGCTGTCGTTACTGCTGCTGCTGCTGCTGCTGTATCCGCTGCAGCAGCAGCTGCTGGTTGTTTGCTGCTCTTCTTCCAGCAGACCTGTTCTTGTGGTCTCTGCTGCTCTTGCTGCATGCGTTGTCCCTAAGGTGTCTCTTCTTCTTGAGGACAAAGGTTTACTCTTGCTGCCTCCTAAGATAGTGAGGTTCTGTATAAGACCCAGCACAGGACCCCAAAGGGCCCCCAAGAACCGCTGCCGGAGGGGCCCCTGTCGCAGTACAAAAGGTAGCAACACCTCAGTCAACAGCGCCTGCTGCTGCTGTGGTGGAGGACCAAGACGGCCGTGCGCAGAGGGTCGTGCTCCTTCATCTGCTGCTGGTGCTGCTTCTTTTGTTGTTGCTGCTGCACTACTGGTCCTAGGCTTTTTGGATCGGTGTTGTCTCCACAATGAAGGCTGCTGCAACGTGCACGGTGAATCAGAACTTGGAGCTGCAGCAGCGAAAGCGGCGTCCGCTGCTGCTGCTGCTGCTGCAACTGCCGCAGCACCAGCTGGGGTGTCGCTGCAGCACCACTGGCCTTGCAGGTAGCCCTCCACCAGCTGCAGCAACTCTTGCAGCACAAGTGTGCGCGAAGGTGCCTCCTCTGTCTCCTTGAGAGATGATGTCTCCTCTCCCGTTAGAGAAGATCCAGGTGCTACACAATTGGAGACAGGAGTCTCCTCTGTGCTCGTGCAGGCAGCAGAGGAGACAGCAGATATATTAATTAGAGGGACTGGCAACTGCAGCAGCAGCTGCCATGACACATAGCAAAGGGGTCCCTCAGTGTGGCGCAGCAACAGGGATGTCTGCAGCAACAACACAAGCCAGTAGTAACAGCAGCAACAAAGATGGTAGTTGCAGCAGCAACAAGAAAGGCAGCTGCAGCAGCAAGTTGCAGAAGCAGCAGCAGGACACAGTCGCTAGGCTGGGAAGGGAGCCAAGACAAAATGGCTTCATCAGTCTAGGGTCAGCACTGGCACAGTAGGAGGAGGAGGAGGAGCAGCAGCAGAAGCAGCTCCTCCTTACAGGTAAGGCCATATCAAGGAATCGTCTAAGCTCCTTCTCTTTCTTAAGGAGGTCAATCTCTTGTGTGTTTCTTGGTGGAAGGAGGGCCCCACAGGTGTACATACAGCTCATGGTATGCAGCAACTGTATATGTCCCTCGTTGCTGCTCGTCTGCTGCACCTCTGCTGCTGCTTGCTCATCAGAGGCAGCGAGCTGCACATAAACAAAGCAGCGCCAGACAGTCAACTGTCTCTTTTCCTGTGAGAGGGGTCTCCTCTCTGTCAAGGGGCCCCTGGGGGCCCCTCGACACCTCCAGTGACACTATTCAAGAGCCACAGTACCCTAGGGCCCCCCTTAGGGGCCCCATATGGGGCCCCTTCTGACGTACCTTCGCCTCCACAAGCTTAAAGAGACTGGCAGCTAACTTGCAGCGCTCGATATAGTTAGGGGCCTCCCTACGCAGCTGTAGCCATGAGGCCTCGAAGGGGGCCCCCAAGAGGCCCCCTAAAACATAACGAAGGCCAATACTTAAGGACGTAAAGGTTTGTACCTGTCTCCAACACCACAAACACGCATGTTGCTAGCTAGCTAGCTAGCTAGCCAGCTAGCTAGCTGGTAGCTGACCTGCCAGTCAGTTAGCTAGCTAAGGCATATATGCAATACAACTTAGGCAACTAAATGCCAATATTCCCCTACTGTTGGGGGGCCTTCTAGGCTGCACAGCAGCAAACAGGGCGCCCCCCACTAGGAGCGGCACCAGGTAAAGGGGGCCCGGTCCTACCTGCTGCTGCAGCGGTAATGCGAACAGCTCCTTCCATATGCGGCTCGCCAGTCTCTGAGACACCTCAAGGGGACCTGCTGCTGCTGCTGCTGCTGCAATAAGACTCGCAAGTAACACTTCCTGCTGCTGCTGCTGCTCCTGCAGGTCATAAGGATAACCAGGCGCTCGCAGCGCTGCCTTTTGAATGGCCAACGAGGGGGCCCCCCTTTTAGGGGCCCCCAACCCTCGCTCTTGGGTTCGCTGCCGCTCCCTTCCCGCGACAGCAGTAGCAGCACCAGCAGCACGGGCAGCAAGTGCAGCACGAGGCCTACTGCTGCTGAGTTGCTGCCAACGCTTAAAATGCGACAGCTGTAGCAATCGCTGGTGCTGCACACTCCTCAATAGACCAGTCAGCCCGTCCCACACACAGCGGGCCAGAAGCTGCTGCTGTTGCTGCTGCTGTTGCTGCTGCTGTATTTGGTGCTCCTGCTGCTCTCGGTCCGGTGAGGACGGCAAAAGAGGCGGTGCTGCAGAAGGTGCAGCGTCTAGCAGCAGCGCAGCAGCAAAGCGGACGCAGCTGCTGCTGTCCTGAGCTAGCTGCAGCAGCACCTTCACGACCTGCCTCTGCAGCAACAGTCACACCAACGGTAAGAGCAGCTTGTGTTTAGGCAGAAAGAAGCCCTGCACATCCGAAGTAGCAGCAGCAGCAGCTACAGCAGGAGCAACAGCCGCAGCAGCAGCAGGAGGTGGAGCTTACTAGCGCCAGTGCTGCTGGGTGGGTTTGGTGTTGGCTTTGCTGCAGCAGAGCAGCAATTTCTGTAAGGAGGAGACACCTGACAGCAGGCGACTGACGATCTGCTGCTGCCCCTAGCAGCAGCTGCAGCAAATCAGTAAGTGCTACTGGCTGCAGCATCACCTCCTGTCTGCTGCTGCTGCTGCTAGGGTTGCTGCAGCAGCGGCGCAACAGCTGCAGCAGAAAGGAGACGGCTGCATGGCGCACGGTGGGGGACGGGTCCTCTAAGATCTGTTCCAGCACCTCTCTGCAGCAGGAGCAGCAACAGGAGCAGGAGCAGGAGCAGCAGCAGCAGCAAGTGATAAGGTGCTCGTTCTATTGGTGTGAGGTGTTTAGGGAGACACTTAGATATCTAACAGAGGGAGACAGAAGAAGCAAATGAATAGACAAGGGGGAAAGGCAGCAGAAAAAGGAGACAGTAAATAAATAAAAAAAAGGGGAAGCAGCAGCAGCAAGAGACACACACATAGAGACAGGAGACAGGCAAAAGGAGATAAATACACGGAAGGAAAGGCAATAACAAAGCAAAAGAGACAAAAGAGCAGACAACCAGAAAAGGAGAGGCAGAGATACAAAGAGAGACAGAGAGAAACAAAAAGAAAAACAGAGAAAAAGGGACAAAAAGGGACAAAAAGAGACAAAGAAAGAGAAAAGGAGACACCTTGAGCTAAGCAGCAGACTAAGAGGAAGGGGACAGCATAACAATTGCCATAGGCAGACGGCATTCAGACGAATCTCCCAATTGCCGCACTGCAGCACAACACTACACAACAATTAATTAACAGCTAGCTAGCTAGATAGCCAGCTAGATAGCTAGCTAGCTAGCTAGGTGGATGGATAGGTGCCTGGATAGGTGGATGGCTAGGTGGCTAGCTAGCTGGCTAGCTAGCCACACTGCAGCCGTCTTCTCCAGGGGTACAGGACTAGCGACACATCAGGACAGTGTCACCACTATCTGCTGCTGCTGTTGCTGCTGCAGCTCCTCTCCCCGCTGCTGCTGTTGATGCTGCTGCTGCTGCTGCTGTTACTGCTGCTGCTTGGCTTGCCTTCAAAGACCTCCATAAGAAAGGAGACGCTAAGGACCATACACTAAGAGGAGGAGACACCTCCCTCCCTCCTTCCTCTGTTGTTAGTGCAGCCCTTAGGGGGGCACCCGTAAGTGCAGCAGCAGCAGCCCTGCTGCTGCTGCTTGCTGCAGCAGAAAACGTCTGCTGAGATAGTAGAGGCAGCAAGCAGCAGCGGCACCGCTGCGCCAACTGCAGCGGGGAAAAGAGAGACGCACGCAGCAGCTGCTGCAGCTGCGGGGCAAGGGACTCGCAGCCAGGCTCAAGAGACACCTGAGCAGCAGCAGCAGCAGCAGTAACACAAGCAGCAGCAATACATACTACATGGGGCGGAGAGGCAGCAAGCTTCATGCAACTAGCAGCAACAGCAGCATGGTCTGCAGCAGCAGCAGCAGCGTTCCCTCTGGCTTCTGACTCTGCCACTGCTACTGCCGCTGCTGTTGTTGTTGTTGTTGTTGCTGCTGCTGCTGCTGTTGCTGCTGCTGCTGCTAAGCTCCTCACCTTGAAGGCTTGTAGGAACAAGGAGCCCATTTGCTGCAGGTCCCCAGCAGTGACACTTCGGTCCTCAATAAGAGACACCAAGTGCTGACACAAACACAAACCCTAAGCCCTAAACCCTAAACCCTAAACCGCAAACCCTAAACAGATCCAGTTCCTAAACTCTAAACCCTAAACCCTACAAACAGGAGCTAGCTACCGCCTTCTCTACGTGTCCAACTAGCCGGACACAGATAAAAAGGGTTTAGAGCATGCAAGAATTTAGGGTTTGCAAGGGTTTAGGGTTTAGGGTTTACGCGGAAGAAGACGAGGTGTAGGCCTGGGCAGCGGCCCCACAGGTGCGCGAGAGCCTTCCTTCCCTCTTGCTGCAGCAGCAGCGGGGAATTAGGCAAAGCAGCAAGCAGCAGCAGCAGCAGCAGGCGCTGCAGTTGCGGCTGCAGAGGCCCATGCTGCTGCAGCACAGCTTCAGGGGCCTCAAACATATCAAACAGCTGCTGCAGGGGGCCCCACAGACCCTCTCTCCTCGGCGCAGCAGCAAGAGCAGCAGCAGCAGCAGTCGAGCCCTGCACCGCATGCACTAAGCACTAAACCCTAAACCCTAAACCCTAAACCCTAGGTCGTTATGTGCGGGGGCAAATGCATGCAACTTACAGGTGAAGAGAGGGCGTTAACAAGGAGAAGAGAAGCAGCTTCTGCTGCAAGGCCAAGGTAGAGAGGCTGCTGCTGCTGTTGCTGTTGCTGCTGCTTCTGCTGCTTCTGCTGCTGCTCGGGGGGCCCATCCAGCAGCTTGTCAAGTGTCTCTAAGAGACAGTGGCAAAGGGTACTGCGCAGCCGCTGCTGCCTCTTTAATAAGGCCTGGGGGGCCCCTGGGGCCTCCCCAGGGGGTACCTCTTCTTCATCACTATAGGGGCCCCCCTCTTTAGGGCAACAAGCAGCACGTTGCTTGCAGGGGCCCACCACACTATCTAGTTGCTGCAGCGTTGCTTCTGCGGGGTCCCACAACACAGACAGCAGCAGCAGCAGAAATAGTAGCAGCAACAGCAGCAAATAGATATATACAGCAGACACAGCAAACAATAACGAAGAGACTCACCTCCTACTACCCATAACAAGGGTACAAACGCATGCAGCAGCTGGGGGGCCCCATGTTGCTGCTCCACAGCAGCTGCAACAGCAGCTGCAACAGCAGCTGCTGCTTCCAACACATCTATAGAAGGAAACACCTCCACAGGCTCAGAGACGCCCCTTCGGTGCCCTTGGGGGGCCCCCCAAGGGCGGACGGGGTCTTGAGTACAGGTCCCTCTGTGGGGGCCCCCTTGGGGCACCCCTTGGGGGCCCCCTTTACTACCAGCAAAGCTATGGGCATAAAGGAGGCCCCCTACACGGTAGAAGAGCTGTGTAGCCTCAGGAACAGTAAGACCCAGTATCTCTTCTTTTAGTACCTGAAGGAGCAGAACACCGCCTAAACCCTAAACCCTCGGAAAGTGTTTATTGATCTCGGGCGAACCTAAGCATTAGGGTTTAGGGTTCTTACGCGAGCACGAGTAGCTGCACAGAGGAGGTCTCGGAGGGTTGCAGACTGCAGCAAGAGGGCCCCTATACCCTTAGGTTTAGGGGGGGGCCCCATGTTGACTCAAGGGGCCCCTTGCACGGGGCCCCCAGGCTCAAAGTGGTGGCCCCCCTACGGCCTACACAGAGTATAGAGGGGCCCCCTATGCCGCATATTAAATTTAAAAGGCAAATAAACAAAGAAAAGGGAAAGAAAGAGCAGCAAATGCAGCAAAATGTTGCTGCTGTAACACCACAACCCCACCACTGTGTGTGTGTCACCGCAGCTACACTGTAAGACCCCCCCTCTGTTGAGGGCTTAAAATGATTATTTCTTCAATTTAAATATAAAAATATAATTAAAAATATAAAATAATAAATATTTATCTAAAATTTAATGCCTTTTCCCCTGTATTTCCCTGTACTACTCCGTGCACGCGTATGCCGCGCCCCCTAGCAAGCTGCCTATACACCCCAGCGGACCACCGCCGCCTCTACAAGTAAACCCTAAACCCTAATCTGTCCTATATCTTATCCGTCCCTCCCTTCTCTAGAGGTGCCTATACACCTACATTCCCTCTATTAACTGCCTTTCCTCCCTCTATACCTTTATATTCTGTTCCTTTTTACGTGTATGTACACTATAATTTATTCGCCATCCTCTAAACAACCAACTAACACCAACGACAAAACAGTCCCTTCTTCTTGCCCCCTCAAGACCCTTTTAGGGGGCCCCTAAGGGCCCCCAAAAAGTTCCATAGGGCCCCCCCCGGGGGATCCATAAAGTTCATTAGGGCCCCCCCTAAAAGCTACCAATGCATAGGGTACCCGTAAGGGGCCCCTCCCTGCCTTGGTGGTGCCTTCAAGGGGCCCCGTAGGGGCCCCACACGGATGCAACCCCCTTTGCTGCAGCAGCTCATACTGCATGCAGAGAGCAGCAGCAGGTTGAGGTATAATTGGCGTATATTTGTTGGGGAGTGTGTGGGGCCCCCTAAGAAGCAAGAAAGGGGCCCCCCCTTGATGCCGTTATATATGTCCTTTTTACCTATTTATATATTTATTTATTTATTTATTTATTTATTTTTGTGCCTTTGCCTTGTGCTTCTGGCTAACTGCAACTGTACCCTCTCTGAATTGATTCTTTGCGCGACGAGGAAGAGTTCTTAGATAGCGCATTCTGCATGCATGCACAAACCCTAAACCCTAAACCCTAAACCCTAGCACAAACCCTAAACCCTAAAAATCGGGAAGGACGGATATAGCAACAGCAGAACACTCTGCAGCAGATGGTAAGAAAGAAGATAAGTAGGATACTCTAATACCTCCCAAACCCTAAACCCTAAAACCCTAAATCCTAAACCCTAAACCCTAAACCCTAATACGTACCTGCCAGTTCCTGTAGTGTGTCTACGCTTTGCCTTCTCCGACCAGTTGTATGTCCTCTTCTTTGCAGAGGGATATCCTAGAGAAATAAAAAAAAAAAAGAAAAAGAAAAAAGAATAATTAAATAGTTAATTTATATTAAGCTCTTAGAGGCATATACACCCTAAACCCTAAACCCTAAACCCTAAACCCTTGATATGGACATCTTTATGATCCCTATCTCCCTTCGCGTTCTCCCTATACAAAACCGTTAATAAACAGAAGAAGAAAGAAAAGAAAACATAAAGAGGAGCAGCTTTCCCCTTCTTCTTCAGGTGTACGTACACCCGAGGGTTACCACTATAGTACACACAAAGGGTTTATCTTATTTACAAAAGGAATAAAGTATATATTAATTATAAGTAAAAAAAAGAAAAAAAGGAGAAAAAAGCAATAAAAAGGAACGCATGCAGCATGCAAATGTGCAGACCCCACAGGGGGGAACAAGGGCCCCTCTATATTTTATGTATTTCTTTTCCTGTTACTGTTGATTTCCTCCAAACCCTAAACCCTAAACCCTAAACCCTAAACCCTAAACCCTCACCACAAGAGGCACAAGTCTTCTTCTGTACGTGGTAAGCCCTCCTACCACATCTTAGGCAAAGGAAATGTGTTTTGCCGTGACGACGGCCAAAGGATCCTGTTCCTTTGCCTGCCTTCCCCATTTTTTTAGTGTATATACACCTAAATTAATAAAATTAACAGGGGGAAAACAAACAAAAAGAAAAGAAAAACACTCAGGCACAAAAAACAAACAAAACAAACATCAATACCCCATTATAATGGGGCTTCTTCAGTCGCAGCCCCGTGGTGTACATACACCCCAGCAGCTGCTGCACCGCATGCATCAGCTAATTGAATATTTACAAATAATAATCTATTATATTCATACTATTTACTCTTTTTTATTTATTTATCTTCTTTTTCTTAAGAAAATACACAATTAATATGTCTATTAGCTGCCTATACACCCCGCAGCTGTACGCCTCTCCCCACCGCCCCCACGATTAACTGCAGGGTTATGCTAAGGAGCGGGAAAAAAGAGAAAAGTTTTATTTATTTTTAATTAATTAATTTAATTTGTTATTTATTATTTAATTATATTCTTTTTTTAACAAAAGTTCTTCTTTTGTTTAGGCATAAGAGGCAACACATCCATAACTCTTCAACCCCACCATCTTATTCACGTACCTACGTACGTACACCTCAATCTATTTGTACACTATAACTCATACTATAGCTAGCTGGCCAGCTAGCTAGTTAGTTAGTTAGCTAGCTAGCTGTACTGTATAGACTAGCAGTAAGGGTCCTAAGGAAGATAATTAATTATGCATTTCTTTTTATTTATTTATTTTATAATTATATTATATTTCTCCCTCTTGCCTGTTGTATATATGAACAAACCCTATTAATACAATTAAAACCCTTGTATAGCCCCTAAGAGAAGGGAAAGGGTTTAGGGTTTAGGGAAAAAGTGTTTAGGGTTTAGGGAAAAAGTGTTTAGGGTTTAGGGAAAAAGGGTTTAGGGTTTAAGGAAAAACCCTAGATATAAATTGCCTCTCCTGGCTTAAGGCAGTAAAACCCTGGGGGGGCCCTTGTAGGGTTTTGTTGTTGCTGTGGGGGCCCCCCTGACGTGCTACTATTACTATTACTACTACTGCTGCTGCTGCTGTTGCTGTTGTTGTTGTTGCTGCTGCTGCTGTTCTTGTGGGGATTAAAAGGAATACCTAACTTATTGCATGCAGCCTCCGCCCTCCTTGGGGCTTCCCCGTATGCCTCTCCCCCCAAGGGCAACACATCATAACGAGACGCAATTGTTATACGGCTACCTAAGAGGCGGTGTGCCTGCAGCAGCAGCAACAACAGCAGCAGCAAGAAATGCAGCAGCAGCAAGAGTTGTATAATGAACAAGAGAGTAGCAGCAATAATAGACACAGCAGCAAGAAGACAAGTACAACCAGCAGCAGCAGCAGCAGCAGCAGCAGCAAGTGTTATCATCTTTACAATTATATATACTTAGCTGCCTATACACCTGAATATGTATTAGTGTGTTTATTGGTGGGGTTGCTGCTGCTGCTGCTGCTGCTGCTGCTGTTGCTGCTGCTGCTGTTGCTGCTGCTGCTTACCTCTACTGCTTCTTCAGGCGTCATATTAAATCGCTGCAGCAGCTCTGTAGGTTCATAGCCCCCTATAGGCAGCAGGGAGAGGTCGAAGCAGTGCTGCTGCTGCTGCTGCTGCTGCTGCTGTTGCTGTTGCTGCTGCTGGGAGATGAGGGCCTTTGCTGCAGCAGCAAGCTCAGCTGCCATCTGACGGGCCTCAGGTGTGGGGTCGTCAACCTCTAGGGGCCCCCATGCTGCTGCGTACCTATCCGTGATTTGCTGCTGCTGCTGCTGCAGCGCCATTTGTAGCTTTTGCTGCTGCGCTGCAGCAACAGCAGCAGCAAGCATAGAAGAATTATATCCTTGTCTCCCCCCAATATACACCTGGTGGGGCCCCAATAGGGTACAAAAGGCCCCCCATCCCCCTATACCCTTATCAAGGAGACACCTAGATGCAGCAGCAGCAGCAGCAGCAGCAGGAAGCAAAGAAAATAAACAACCAGCTAAGGAAAGGGGACTGTCTCCCCAATTCATAGGGTACATAGTACCCCTCATTTTACGGTGTATATACAGGGGCCCCATTGTACCCTGGGGCCCCAATAGGGTACAGCTAAATTGCTTCTGCAGCTGCTGCAGGGGGCCCCTATCTAGACAATCATAAGAAGAAGAAGTAAATAAAAGAATATCTATTGGTGGTAAGGAAGAAGGAGACACAGCAGCAGCACAGACACGACGTGCTGCAGCACACAGACACACAGCAGCAGCAGCAGCAGCAGCAGTAGTAGTAGTAACATAACACACATCAACTGCTCCTCCCGCTGCTGCTATTTCTGCTGCTGCTGCTGCTGCTGCGAAGATGGTGCTGCTGCTACGATACTAGTGCTGCTGCTGCTGCTGCTCTTGATCCTAATGATGCTAATGCTGCTGTGACTGTTTGTGCTGCTGCTCGTGGTGCTGCTGCTGCTGCTGCCGCTGCTGCTGCTGCTGCCGCTGCTGTGTGCACGGTTACTTACGCCCGATCCTCCCCCAGGGCCCCGCTCGTTTAGAGAAGAAGGGATCGGTAAGAATGCTGAGGGGCCCCAAGGGGCCCCCTGGGGTCCCACTGGTCTGCAGCAAGAAGGTACCATGACCAAGGGCCTGTACCCTAAGGAGGCCCTTAGGTATATCCTCTGCATTAGGGGGAGGGGGCCCCTCAGGTACAGAGAAGGGTTCTGGCCATATAGCTGGTGGCTTAAAAGGAAGGGCCCCTTTTTTGTACCCTAGGAGGGCCCCTAGGACCTCCCCTACGGCCCTCCCTAGGGACCCTACTAGGGCCCCTCCTGGGGGCCCTCCGGGGCCCCTCCCTGGGGCTCCAGGAGGAGGGAACCACTGCATGCAGCGATATCGTGCAAGGGCTAAAGACTCTCGCAGGGTAAGAGAGGGTAATGGGCCCCCAGGAGGGGGGCCCCCTCCCTGGGTGTTGAGCTTGGGGGCCCCCCCTGCTGCTGCTGCTGGGGGCCCCCAAGTTGGCTCGAAGTGGACGATGAAGCACTTAAGAAGAGATCGGGGTAAACCCTTGAGGGCCCCCAAATTAAAACCCTTCAGGGGGCCCCCCATTCTCTCCTCTAGCGTACTGTGTTTGGGGGCCCCCAAGAGGCAGGATAATGAGGGGGCCCCTGGGCCCTAACTATCTTTAGTACCCTTAGGAATAGAGAGAAGGTACTAAATATAAAAGAAAAGATGTAGAGACTAACAATAAAAATCAGGGTTTAGGGTTTAGGGTTTAGGGTTTACTTCATAGGCAAGGCTCACGGTCTGCCAGCCACTCGCTCAGGAGGGGGGCCCCCCACCGTTAGGGGGCCCCCCCTCCAAACACCACTTACCTTCTTCTTACAAACCCTAGATCGTAAACCTCAACAATTAAAACCCTAAACACTAAACCCTAAACCCTTGTAAAGGGCCTCTACATCGGCTTGTCTGGTTCTTGGGGGCCCACCTGACCCTTGCTTGTCTTGCTCCCCGGGGGCCCCCAAGGGAGCAGTAGGAAATGTTCAAGGGGGCCCCGTGCTTCCCTCTTAGGCCAGGGGGGCCCCCATATCTATCTCCTTTACTAGTTTCCTTAGACCCCCCAGGGGGGGCCCCAACAGACCCAGATGGTAAAGACGTGGGGCCCCCCGTGCTGCCGCGACTGCAGCAGCAGCTGCTGCAGCAGCAGCGCTCGTTGCGCCTATGGCTGCAGAAGGTTCTTCAAGAGTCTCCAGGTAAACCCTAAACCCTAAACCCTAAACCCTAAACCCTTGAGGTGTATACACACCTCTGCATGCATGCATGCATGCTTATATATTATGTCTTTGCTGCTGTTAGGTGTAGAGACAGCAGAGGCTAATGAACAGCCAGCAGCAACAAACCCTCGTAAGTTATCTGCTGCAGACCTCCAAACCCCCGAATTAGGGTTTAGGGTTTAGGGTTTAGGGTTTGGGTGTGTTGCAGTTGTTGATGAGGGTTTAAGGAGCTAGTTGTTTGGCAGTATAGCGTGTAGGGTTTAGGGTTTAGGGTTTAGGGTTTAGGGTTTATGTTGCAGTATGTATAAATATAAATAATAATTATATAATAAGAAGAAAAGAAGAAAAAGAAGAAAAGGAGACAGATACAGCAGCAGCAGATACAATTATTGATCTTATGGATCAGTTAGTCCCTCTTTATTTTCTCCTTTCTTCCTTTTTTTTGTCTCCTTTCTTCCTTTTTATTGTCTCCTTTCTTCCTTTTTTTTGTCTCCTTTCTTTTATTGTCTCCTTTCTTCCTTTTTTTTATTGTCTCCTTTCTTCCTTTTTATTGTCTCCTTTCCTCCTTTTTTTTATTGTCTTCTTTCCTCCTTTTTTTTTATTGTCTTCTTTCCTCCTTTTTTATTGTCTCCTTTCTTCCTTTTTATTGTCTCCTTTCTTCCTTTTTATTGTCTCCTTTCCTCCTTCTTATTGTCTCCTTATTGTCTCCTTTTTTTTTGTCCCCTTTTCTCCCTTTTATTGTCTCCTTTTTTTCGTCCCCTTTTCTCCTTTTTATTGTCTCCTTTTTTATTGTCTCCTTTTTATTGTCTCCTTTTTATTTATTCTTTTTATTTATTCTTTTTATTTATTCTTTTTTGTCTCTTTTTTGTCTCCTTTTATCTCCTTTTGTCTCCTTTTGTCTCCTTTTGTCTCCTTTTGTCTCCTTTTGTCTCCTTTTGTCTCCTTTTGTCTCCATCTGTCTACTTGTCTCCTGTCTCTTCTGCTTATAGGGGCCTACAAAGCTGTGCCTTACCTGTGGGGCCCCCCATGGGGCCCCCCCCTGCTGCTTGCTGCCGCTGTTTATCCCTTCATGTATACTCGGATAGTTATGAGGTTAATTCCTTAAGACATGAGGGGCCCCCTGTACCCTTTAGGGAGAGGGGCCCCCAACCAAGGGACTGGGGGAGGCCCCGTGCCTGTGCCTTTATGCCAGAGGCAGAGGAGGCCCCTGGGCCCCCTTCCCCCCAGCCATCAGCAGCAGCAGCTGCTGCTGCTGCTGCAGCAGCAGCAGCAGCAGCAGGAGACGCCTTCAGTCTATGGGCAAGCGGGGGGCCCCTACCTACGTACTTAGAGCCAAGCAGCAGGAGGTACGTTTGTCTCCTTAATTATATAATTATATAAATATAAATAAATATAATTAATAATTATATATTTATTTATTAAGTGTCTCCTTTATTTACTGTCCCTTTTTTTATTCCTTTTTTTTTTTTGTGCTGCTGTGGTGAATATGCAGGCAGTCTGCAACTGTCTCTTCTCCTGTAACAGCAGCAGCAGCAGCTGCTGCAGCAGCAGGTGCTGCTGCTGCTGCTGCTGCTGAAGAGGGAGAAGCACAGGCGCGGCATAGCGAGCAGTCACAACAGAGACTGCAGCAGCAACTGCAGCATCTGCAGCAGCAGCAGCTGCTGCTGCAGCAGCTGCAGTTTGGTCAGGCAGCAGTACACGGCGGAGGCCCAAGAGGGGTAAGGAAGGGACTGCAACTCCCTTGTGCTGCTGCTGCTGCTGCTATTGCTGCTGCTGCTGTTCATTGCCTTGCTGCTGCTGCTGCTGCTTGTGTCTCCTTTCTTTGCAGCCCTTCGTTACCCCAGGGACAATAGAGGCCCCAGGGGACAGGGGGGGCCCCCGAGGGTTCTCTTATGAGGGGCCCCGTCTTGAGCTCCTAAGGAGTTTAAGTCGTTCTTACCTATCAAGGGGGGCCCACCTGGGGAGACACGCGAGAGAGGGGGGCCCCCAAGAGGGGCCCCCACTACCCAATCCTGGAGGGGGTCCCCTTGACGAAGGGGTACCAGAGGGTCTATTCAGAGAACCTGGGGGCCCCCTGGGGGGCCCCCCAACAGTTACAGATGATGTACCAGAGGGAGGGTTAGAAGAGGCGGGGGCCCTTGGGGTTCCCCCCGAGTCTACCCTTGAGGGGGAGGAGACAAGGGGGGGCCCCCATGGTACCGATGGAAGGTCTCTTCTTAGGGTAGGGGGGCCCCCCTTCCCTGTTGTTGCAGAGGGTACTAGGTACAGTGATAGTACAGAAGGAGAGAGACAATTGTTGCTAAGTAGTCCCCCCTTTAGTGTCCCTCAACAAGAGGAGACAGAGGAGACAGAGGAGACAGGGCCCCCTCTACTGTCTCCTTCTGTCTAATTGTGTCCCCTTTATGTGTCTCCTTTATTAAGGAGACACCAGCAAGTGTCTCCTTATTATTAATTCTCTTTATCTATACACTTTTTTCTCCCTTAACATCAAGGGTTTAGGGTTTAGGGTTTAGGGTTTAGGGTTGAGGGTTTAGGGTTTAGGGTTTAGGGTTTAGGGAGTCTAGTGTTAGCACTGCATATAGACGTGATCTTAGGGGGCCCCTCCCTAGTAGGCTACCAAGGGGCCCCTTCTTCTGCTATCCCTTTCTGCTGCTGCAGCAGCAGCAACAACTGCAGCAACAGCAGCAGCAGCAGCAGCAACTACGATTATTTTTTTATAGAAATGTTATTGGGGTGTATGCACACCTCTTTGTGTGTGTCTCTCCGTCCCCTTTTTCTTTATTTATATCCCCCTGCATGCAAGAGGATAGGGGGCCCCCCTAGCAACGCATTAGCTGCTTAATGGGGGGCCCCCAGGGGGCCCCCATGGAGGGCCTCAAGGGGCCTCAGGGGGGGCCCTTGTAGGGTACCAAACTGTGTGTGAGTCTTATCTCCCTAGCCTATCATTGAGGCTAGGCAGCAAAGTGCTGCTGCTGCTGCTGCTGCTGCTGCTGCTGCAGGAGCAGCAGCAGAGGGTTTATTATATTTAATACGTTAATTCCCCTTTATTATTATTATTATTATTATTATTATTATTATTATTATTATTATTATTATTAATTTGTCTCCTTTTTCTTTTTTATTATTATATAATAAAAGGAGACACTTCCCTTTAGAAGTGTCTCCTTTTTGTCTCCTTTTTGTCTCCTTTTTGTCTCTTTTTTTTTTTTTCTTCTTTTTTTCTTCTTCTTTTTCCTCCTTTCTTTATACCTGTATCTTTATCTCCTTTATTAATTTATTTTATTTATTTTATTTATATTACCTGTTTACTAATTATCTCCCTGTTTCCTTTTCTATATATGCATGCATGCAAGTATGCATGCATGCATGCATGCATGCATGCATACTATAAAATAAGAACAACAGCAGTAATATAATAA